AGTTAATTATTTATAGATTAAATTATTGAATTTATTTCTAATGTAAGTTTTTTTTCATTTATTTATAGGTCACAAAAGTTATAACTCGCAACCTAAATAAGATAATAGATATTAATTATTATCCTGTTGAAGAAGCGCGTAGGTCTAATTTTCGGCATCGTCCGATTGGCATTGGCGTTCAAGGTATTTTATTAAATCATTTGTGTATTACTCGCTAACAGTTTTAATATTTAACAAAGATTTTCTTCAATAATAAGGGTTAGCTGATACTTTTCTCTCCATGCGCCTTCCATTTGACTCATTGCGCGCCAGAGAATTAAATAGGCAGATATTTGAAACAATGTATCATGGTGCCTTGGAGGCATCATGTGAGCTCGCTTGTAAATATGGTTCATATGAAACATATCAAGGATCTCCAGTATCTCAAGGAATTTTACAATATGATATGTGGAACGTTGTCCCAACAAATTTATGGGATTGGAATTTGTTGAAAGAAAAAATTGCACAATATGGTGTCCGTAATTCGTTGCTATTAGCACCAATGCCCACCGCTTCAACTTCACAAATATTGGGATTTAATGAATGTTTTGAACCTTACACTAGTAACATTTATACAAGACGTGTTCTTGCTGGAGAATTTCAAATTGTGAACCCTTGGTTATTAAAGGATTTGGTTGAATTGGGCTTATGGAGTGATCAGATGAAAAATAAGATCATTTCGGACAGCGGAAGTATTCAGAAGGGTAAATACTTTATAAACGTTATGTTCTTGAGTTAAAAAAACCAGTCTTATATGTTTACTCTTTTTTTGGATTCTTTATTAGTTCCTGGTATCCCTGATGAACTCAAAGCCATGTACAAGACAACATGGGAATTGTCTCAAAAAGTAATCATTGATATGGCAGCTGACCGTGGTGCATTCATTGACCAATCTCAAAGTCTTAACATACATATGGGGGAACCAACTTTTGCTAAACTGACTAGTATGCATTTGTAAGTAATTCTATTAGGTGCTACATTTCGAAACTATTACACATTTCAATAATATTTAATGACAAACTTTGAAATTTTATTTATTTTATTTTTATTTTTTTTTAGTTATGGTTGGAAAAAAGGTCTAAAAACTGGAATGTACTATCTTCGAACGAAACCAGCAGCAGACGCTATTAAGGTGAAATTTTGAATTCTTTTGATTTTCTAAAAAATTATATACAAATTTAATAATGTAAGTTAATTTATCATTTTTATTAGTTTACCGTTGATCAGCTTTCACTTAGGGAAGTTGAAACAGCCGAAGAATATGAAAATGTTGGAAATAAAAAGGCATCTATTCTAGCTATCGCATGTTCAATTGAGAATAAAGAAGAATGTGTAATGTGTAGTGGCTAGTAGGTTTGTGACCCAAACCTAAGTTTCGATATGGGAATCGGGATTTCTACTAACTAAAACCAAAATATACGTACATACTACTTTCGGTTAATAGTATTAAATTCAAAAACCAATCAAATTTATTAAATCAATGCTACGTATAAATTGTTAAAACTTGTGATTTAACAACTACACAGTGTGTTAAATAAAAGTGTATGTTAAATAAAAGTATATGTTAGGTCTAATAATTACGCCTCAAGCATTCTTTTCTTATCTATATAAATCGTTTATACATGTGACTTACTGTATTAAATCAATTATAATTTATTTGATAGTACAATTATAACTTAGATAACTGGTAATTCTAGAATTAATATATGCTTAAAGTCTCGACTTCAGTAATAACTTTTCAGACCGGACGATAATCACGACCAATAGGAAAAGACGTATTTATTATCTACGGCAAAACACTAAAGATTTTACGGGCGCAGAAGTATATTAATTATCATTCGAAAAAATCACATGTTTTTAACATGAGGAAAGGCGTATAATATTTATTAAAGTATTTTGAAATAAGCTATTCTATATCAAAAAGAGCATTGATTAATCGAAGTATTTAAAATAACTATTCAAGCTCATG